CTCCCAAAACCAAGATAAGAATTCTGCATGCTGATCTAATGGCCCAGATTAGCATCCTGGCTTCTTTTTATGAGCCCAAGTTATTTATGGCAAAATTAGGTTTTACAGGGGATCGGTAATAACATGTTCGTGCAGTTTAGTAACATTCGGGGTGAATCATGGACGATTGATCTGAATTTCAGGACGATCAGTCCACACACGTTCAGAATTAATCCATAATTACAACCTCCCAGAATATTATAGTAAAGGATTAATTCCATATCACGTGGGTGACGTAATCATCCGCGAATTTATCCTAATACAGTAGCGGAAGCTAAAACCCTGGGTTCCTTTAAATCAGTTGTTAAAATAAGATTTTAACAACTCTGAGCTATTAGTCAAGTTCTCCCCAAACCAGCTTGATGGGCCGAATGGCCCCCTCTCATTTGTAAATTTCTTATGTTCTTATGTTCTAAAATCCAAGCGAAAATGGTAGATTACCTGGATACAAATAACATTCTGAAGGATAGCCAACATAGAAACATTTTTGTGTGACTGGGTATACAGGCCCACATAGCATGCAGATAATTATCTGTGACACCCATGGTGCACTGTGAGCAGGTATACAGGCCCACATAGCATGCAGATAATTATCTGTGACACCCATGGTGCACTGGGGGCAGGTATACAGGCCCACAGAACATGCAGATAATTATCTGTGACACCCATGGTGCACTGTGAGCAGGTATACAGGCCCACATATTATGAAGATAATTATCTTTGACACCCAAAAATTGCCTATTCTCAACTCCGAATTTATGGATTGTCTTTTAATGTCATCAAATGACTGTTATTGAAAAGGAGACGGACATGTGTAATCCCTTTCTGTTTCCATGAGTGATAGTTACCCAGGTAGCATTCCCATATGGGAAAGACATGGGCCATCTGGGCTGGCCCAGCTCACATTTTACCCATGTGGGGCCCATATGGGCAGAATCTGGGCAAACCTGTATGGGTTAAATGTGGGCTCAACGATATGGGCTCCATATGGGCAGGATCTGGGAAAACCCATATGGGGCTGAACGAAATGGGCCATATGGGGCCCAGATAAATCCCACATCCTTGCCCATATGGGCTGGACCATATTGTGCCCAGGTAATGTGGCCCATATGGGCCGCAGCAATAACCCATACGGAACCCAATTGGGGTTTCTGGGCTGGCCCACATGGGTCCCATATGATTCTTGGGTGCAGATTTTGATGGGACCCATATGGGCCAACCCATATGGGCCCCATATTTTGGCCCATATGGGGCCCATGTGGGAATGCTACCTGGGTAATAGTGTGATTGTGAAGTAGGTATTCCAGATTATTCCATATTGTGGTGTATTTACAGGGTCTGAGAGTGCAGTTTGTGATTTTAATGGCTTTCCACTGGGCTGTCAGCGTTGTGCAAATGGCAGTATTGTTAAAGCAGTTATGTTTCTTTAATGAAATATTGAGAAAGGGTAAATCTGCACGTCTGAGATTTTTACAGTACAGCTGCTCCTGCTCTAACCATGTAGTGTGACCATTTAGT